AAAAATTAAAACCATTTTTGCCTGCATGATGGAAAATGCCTGTGGAAGGGAGGGGCAGCAAGGCGTGCCCGAGGGTGGGAGGAGGGAGGGCTCTGATCCTCAGGGAGATCAGGAGCTCACACCCTTTTTGTCTCTCAAGCTGTCGAACTTTTTTAAAATGAGCCTGACTTCACTGGTGCCTCCCAAGGACACTTCATGCCAAGATATCATTCAGTTTAAATAACACCCGAGGTTAATTACTCTTACAGCTCCATCAGCCCCTTCTGTCCCGGATAAATCACTGGATATTTATCTCCCTGTCTCTGCCAGGGCTCAGGATTCCAGTACCTGCCCAGGTCCCTGCACTTCAGCTGCACTGCTGAAGCCTCGGCGCGGTGATGGGATTATTTCCCAGCCCTCGAGTCCCAGCTGAGCCACATTTCTCTGGCTTTGTGCCACGGGGAGGGACGTTCCCATCTCTATGGAACCCGGCTGTGATGTCAGAGATGGGCTGGGATAAAAGGAATCAGGTGTTGAGTGGAACAATGGGGGCTCTGCTCCTAGTCCTGAGCTTGTTAAAGCTTTCCTAAACCAGCTCTGTCAAGGACAGGCATTCAGATCCTGGGGATTTGGAGCCAGCCCCAGATTCCCCTTGCTGTGGTTGTTCAGCAGCAGGGCCCACTCTGGCTGCTCTCTGGACATCCAGGGCAATATTTCTGCACCAAAAACCACTGAGCACAGGAAAAGGGACATTGCAGGTGTGGGCACAAAAGCAGCCTGGCAGTTTGGTTGCCTGCCAAAGTGCAGCCAGAGCAGGAATCTGGGAGTGTGCCAAGGGAGGTCACAGGGCAGAGGGGGTGTTTGGAAGGGGTGAGGGAGCAGTGGGGACCCCACAGAGGGAAGTGACCCCATCCTGTCCACAGACAAGGGAAATCCATGTGGGATTTACCTTTCTTCTTCTGTCAGCATCTGGCTGCCTGGATGGCTCAGGGTAAAGCATCTGAATTTTCCCTGTCATAACTTGTTTTCACAGCCACATTTCCTGGCTGCAGGGTGGCAGAGGCAAGAATTTACAGCAGTAGATTCAAAGCAACTCCTGCAAGGGAGGCACGCTCTGCTTTTTATGCATGACAAACCAGATTTAGCTGCCTTAAGAGGTGATGCTGGTTCCACAGTGATTACTCCTCTATGGTTTAAGCATTTAAAAAACACTTTAAGATTGTCAGGATCTGTGTTGTGCACAGACTTAGCAGCTCACCTCAGTAGGCAGGGTTTGACTAAAGCACCCCTAAAACCGAGCTGCAGCAAGAAAAAATGAGAGTTTAGGCCAGGCTTTGTGCCTTTCTGCCTTGAAATGAGGCACTGCAATCAGAGCAGAAGCCAAGAGCTGAGGAACTTAGCGGGATGTTTTTCTCTCTGGTGAAACATTCTTACCAAGTGCTAATTGCAGCTAGCAGGGAGCGATGTTATCCCTATAGGAAGCTCATCCTGGGGAGCTTTGGAGGGGAAGGAGGTGTAGAAATTAAGGAAAAAAAAAAAGAGAGAGAGAGAAAAAAAAAAAANAAAAAAAAAAAAATGAACACATGGGGTGTAAAATCTCGGAGCTGTTGAAAACCAGTGAAGGGAAAACTGTTGCCAAGTACAATACCTGGCTATGGGGGCAGGGAGCAGGGAGTGCTTTCCAAAGCCTCAGGAGAGTTCTCAAGCCCGAGGCTCCCAGTGTGCACAGAGTCCCTTAAAAAGGCACTTCTGAACTTGGTACCTTGCCTTTCCATTTCTCTGGAATGCATTTTGAGGTCATGTCATGTGTGGCTTGAGGAGGACCAGAGCAAAGCCAGGACTGGTGAGGTGGTGAGGCAGTGCCTGCTGCTGCAGGCTCTATCTATCTATCTATCTATCTATCTATATATATATATATATATATATATATATATATATATATATATACCTCCAGGCAGTACAGCAAATCCTGGGACTGGGGGGAAACACCCAGATTATCTTAGTGGAGAAAAAGCCCCTTGTCCAGAGCCAAGTACCCACATTTATGTGCATTTCCCACTGCCCCAGCACCACCCTTATGCAACTGGACATGGCTTGTCCAGTTTGTATTTAAAGTTTGTTTGAAGGTTTGTATTTAAATAGTGCAAAGCCATTTACACAAAGCTTTGTAAAACCCAGGATTTAGCTGTGTAAAGAGGAGCAGCAGCAGATGCTGCTGGCACAGAGCTCAGACCTCCCCAGGGCTGGGTCATCTCCCTCCCTCCCAGCTGACATGGCAAACTAACCCTGCTGCCCTTTCTCTTTGCCCCCAGTGCCTGCTGGCAGAACCAGTCAGTCCTGGACACTGCAGAGCATCTCCTTTACCCCCAAAATGAGAACCAGGCAAGTAGAGAAGTTTGTGGTATGGATATGTGTTCTTTGTGCTCCTGTGATGTAGGAAACCTGGTAATAATGGTTGAAATTCCAAAGAAAATGAGAACTTTTGTGAGTCAGAGGTGGTGACATCCCCAAGCCTTGCTTAGGCTGAGAGCCCAGAACATGGGGAAGGTGGGACCAAAATCCTGTCAAACTGTCTCCCACATCACAGTGGTGACACAGTTCTGCATCAAAACATTTGGAGATATTGATAACGGTTCTGTATTTTCCATAGAGATTCTGTTACTTTTTTGTGAAAAATCAACACTGAGAAAAATATTACAGAATTGTGGAATGGTTTGGGTTGGAAAGGACCTTAAAGCCCATCCAGTGCCACCCCTGCCATGGCCAGGGACACTTTCCACTGTCCCAGGTTGCTCCAAGCCCTGTCCAGCCTGGCCTTGGGCACTGCCAGGGATCCAGGGGCAGCCACAGCTGCTCTGGGCACCCTGTGCCAGGGAAGAATTTCAAGTGTCTGTGATATTTGTCAAAAATAGTGACAAGAAATGTTCATTCAGCCTATGGCCAAGCTGGCACAGGTTCTGTGTTCTGAAAGTTGCATTTCAGAAGCTCAAATCCAAGTGGAAGAGGAGGAGTGAAGCTATTAGCCATTCCAGGGATGGTCTAGCTGAATATTTTCTCAGTAATTCAGCCCAAGAAAGGAAACACTGAGCTCCAGACATGTGGGCAGCTAATGGGAATAAACTGCATAAATGCATTCAAAATTCGGGCTGTAATCATCAAAGTTTAGTTCAAAACAAACGAGAGGTTTGGAGAGAGGAGGCAGAGCCTGAGGAGCTGGGATCAGGAGATGTGAAGTCCTGGTGGAGGTGCCCCTGCCTGTGCCAGGGGGGTGGAGTGGCATGAGCTTTCAGTTCCCTTCCAGCCCAAACCATTCTGTGGTTCTGCGATAAAAGACTTGTGGAGAGTGAGAAACGATAGCAAGTGGACAAACCTCTCCTCTGGATCCCCTTTTTTTCCCCAATAAAAGCCCAGCAGGTGAGTGAGATGCGTTTGTAACCTCATCTAACACATCAGAGCTGCTGCCTTCAAGCACCAGTGCTCTAAGGATTGAGCCTTAAAAGACACCGAGCCCTCTTTGAAGTGTGCATCCCTGCTTTTCCCGCACACAGAAGCAGCCCAGCTTCCCCGGAGTGCCCGAGCTGATCCAGCCTTTCCCGAGGGCACAGCGGGCAGTGCCCGGCTGCCCGCGCGGCTCCGCGGAGCTCTCGCAGCCCAGCCCCGGCTCCTGCCAGGGTGCCAGGCTGCTGCCAAGGGATGTGACAGGCCAGCAAGTCCAGGCTGTCTCCTGATTTGCTTTGAAAGGACATCACATCTCCGTGCCTGACAGAAAATCCCTTCTGCTTGCCGGCGCTGGGGGAACGAGCCTATCAGCGAGAGGCTTAGAGGGCTTTTTGTGCTTGAGAGGAGAAAAAGCAAATATGCCCAGCCCTTCTCCCTGCTCCTGGCAGCCTGGCATGTGCAGTCAAATCCCTCTGGAAGCAGAGAGCTCGGAGCTTCCAGCAGGAATGCGGTCCTGGGACAGCAGCACATCTCCCTGGGGGTACAAAGTGCACAGCAGCAGCTCCTGCTGCTTTTCCAATGGGCCCTTCCCTCCCAAGCTCAGGGTAGGCTCAGGAATCGCAGTGAGATCTGAGGAGCAAAAGGCACCGGGGAATCTGTTCCTCAAAGGATGGCCCCAGGAATGATGTTCGAGCCTCTGATCTCCTGCTAATGAGTTTGTGAAATGTCAGCCAGGCTTTGCAGGGCAAAGCTAATGAGCAACAACACAGATATCAGGCAAAGTTCAGGAGGGTTAAATGAACATGGATTTCAAATCCTCATGGTCTGAGCACAGCTGCAGCCTTTCCTGGTGGAGTCAAGCCGTGGAAGTGAATGGAACATCATCCTCACTCCCAGTGTGATTTGGGATTAGCAACAGGATGAGAAATCGGCTTTCCAAATGTGCAGTGCTGACATCTGTGCCTGCTTCTGCTGCATTCCTGGAGCACCTTCATCTGCCCTGGGTGAAACACCTGCCTGAGGAGCAGACAAATCCAGCCTTTGGGAGTTCCCTGTTCCCCCCAGTGCCCTGCAGGTGCACACCCAGCACAGCTGACATTTGGAAGTGACAGGGCCATGGTTTGGTGGTGCCACCATTACGGGCTGGTGACCTTCCACAGGGGTGTCCCAGATGTTCCTGCAGCTGGTCCATGCCCAGACTGGGATGTCTCCAGTGCTAAGGGAGTGGTCAGGGAGTGCTGTGCTCGGCTGGGCACTGGGATGTTCTGGGGCTGGACACTCCCCCTCAGCTGCAGCAGGGGCTGTGGCTGGCCTGGCACTGTGGGGACAGAGTGGCTGTCCCTCGGTGACATCACCGACCTGCCACCATCAGAGCAGTGCGGTGACACAGCTCTGTCCCTCAGAGAGAGCCCACGGGGAGCAGCCCAGCCTCCCCTGGCAGCACTGATCTCTCCCTCAGCCTGGAACTGGAGCAGCACAGGGAAAACACCTCCCAGATCCCGTCCCTCAGCAGCAGGCAGAGGGCTGCAGGCCCATGAAGGAGACTAAAAAGCTGTCAGGAGAGGCAGGGCTGGCAGGAGGGCCTGAGGGCTGTGTGGGAGGGGTGGCAGCACAGCATCCCCAGTGCTCTGGGGCCGGGTGCCCATGAGCACAGCCAGGACTGCAGCCCCTGGCACCACCTTGGCCTCTCCAGCTCACAAACAGCCGTGCCAGGGGCTGGGTTTGGGAAGGACAGGCAGAGCAGCCAGGGAGGGAGGGGATTTCCCACTCAGCACCTTGCTTCTCTTCAGCTCCTTGCACACATAACTCCTGAGCATCACAAGGAGCAGGGCTTCCCTGCTGTGGGACACTCACAGCCACTTCTGTGCTGGGATTAATCCAGCCCAGAAACAGCCTCTGCACGAGAAACCCTAACCCTGCCTCTGGAAAAAAGTTTCTTTGCCACACACAGAACTCACAGCTCTTCTCCAAACCTTTCCTTGGTTTCTCCCCAGGCCCAGGAGCTGCTCTGCTGCTTTTTTGACTCCCTGACATCGGAGAGCACCCACCGAATTGAATGCCAGGATTGCTAGCAGAGATGGGCGAGGCCCCCAGGCAGCCTTGGATGCCTCTGTGGAGATGGACACACGGGCACAATGAGCTCTAACAGCACTGTTTGTTTGGAATTAAAACACAGAGTCTGAGGTGTGGCATTAGCATGGGTCAGAGAAATGAGAGTGGTGGAGGAAGGCTCAGTGCCCCAAAACAAACCCCTGTGAACTGTGGCCGTGCTTCCCAGTGGAGTCCATCCAGAGACAATCTGCTTGTGGGCATGGAGCAAGGCTGGGAGCTCTCCTCTGGCTGGGAAAACCTCAGGGAGCAAACACAGGGGCAAGGAAGGTGTTCACTGCTGTGTCTCTCAGGTGCCTCCACCTCTCCCAGGCCTCAGAGACTCCATGGAGAGACTCTGCTTGCTGCTGCTCCTGTGAGCCAAAGACAAACCCCCAGAGATGAAATGGAAATAGTCAGAGGGGAAGCTGCATCCCTGGAGGTTCAGTACAGCAGGCTGAGCTGGACAGTTCAATGCTCACCTGCCCCTGCTCCAGCAGCCCTGTGCCAGCCCACATCCTGCTCCCTGCCATGGGCACACGGCCCTGCCTCCTCTTCCTCCTCCTGCAGCAGCTGCTGCTCCTGTCATCCCTTCCAGCTGCCCAGAGGAAAGGAAGCTGCTGCAGAGTGTCCTCAGCCTTCCTGGGACACTCTGGGGTCTTTTTCCTTTAGGAAAGGAAGCCTCCTGTTCCCACCTGCCCTGCTAAGGCAAAGATTTACACTCTGCCCTGGTGTGGCCTCACCTCAGATCTGGGGCAGTTGTGGGTGCCACAATATCAGAAGGATCCCAAGCTGTTGGAGAGTGCCCAAAGGAGGGACGTGGGCATGGGGAGGGGTCTGAGGAGCAGCTGAGGGCACCTGGATTGTTCAGCTGGGGAAGGAGACTGAGGGCAGAGCTCAGGGGGGGCTGCAGCTCCTCCTGAGGGGCAGCTCCAATCTCTGGGACAGGGACAGGAATGGCTGGAGCTGGGCCAGGGCAGGGTCAGGCTGGATTTTAGGAAAAGGTTCATCCCCCAGAGGGTGCTGGGCACTGCCCAGGCTCCCGAGGGAATGGGCACAGCCCCGAGGCTGCCAGAGCTCCAGGAGGGTTTGGACAATGCTCAGGCACAGGGTGGGATTGTTGGGGTGTCTGTGCAGGGCCAGGGGCTGGATCCACGATCCCTTTGGGTGTCTTCCAGCTCAGGACATTCTGTCATTCTGTGCCTGCTGCTAGTTCCATCCATGGCAGAGGTGGCAGGGACAGCCCCTGTGAGTGTCCCAGAGGTGAGGGCAGAGCAGCGTGGCCAGCCCAGCTCTGGCTGCTGTGGGCACATGAGCCTGGGGTGAGCTCTCCTCCTCCCAGCTCCCACTAACTGTGGCAAGGTGACACCTCTGACATCTGTCCCTTTGCAGATGAGACAAAAGTGCCCAGGAAGTCTCAGAGCTGTCAGAGGTGTGGCCCTGCAAGCTCTGCTTCCTGAGCAGGTACCAGTCCTAACACAGCCCTGCCCTCCTCTAACCCTGGACCAGCCAGAAGGGATTGTCACAGCCAGCCAGGTGTGAGGGGGACACAGGGACCTGGCCTGACCTCACACGGCATTTCAGTGTCACAAGCACAGAAACCCAGCCTGGTTTGTGTTGGAAGAAACCTTCAAACCCATCCAGTCCCACGCCCTGCTGTGGGCAGGGACACCTTCCACTATCCCAGGCTGCTCCCAAGCCCTGTCCAACCCTGGAAGTTTCTTCCAATCTTTGCTCCCCAGCACCGTTCTGCCTGCACGGGCTCTTTGGGCTTTGTGGTAGGACAAAACATCTCCAGAAAGGAGCTGGGGAGGGAAGGAGGCAGCTGCCCTGGTCCCTGGGGAGGATGAGGTCCTTG